TTTTACAATTTTGGGAATTAAATTCTGATAGAAGTTTGGCAACAAAGTTAATCGAAAGACTTGAACGATGTTAGAATGAATAGGAATAGCTAATTTTATTATTGTCAGTAATTTTATATTCTAAATATAGAATAAGTCAATTTCAAGCTACAGCAACTAATATTAATTATCCTACTTTTGGAAAATAGTTAAGTTATTATTATCGTGCATAGACAGGCCAAGAACCAAAATGTATTTTTCGTGAATTTAATAATTTTTGTATAAAAAATAATTCCTTTGATGATGAAACTTATCAACAGTTTAAAGATAATGTTCTATCTTATTGGTGTTATATCAAAGATGCAACTGACAAATTAGGTTTTGTGGCTTATAGGATTTTCAGTATTTGTGTTAATACTGCTTCAGTAGAACAACTGTGGAGCTGTATAGGTTTTATTCAAACAAATCGGCGATGTTAATTAAAAGTAAGCATGATAAATTATAGTTACATAGATTTTTAAACAACTTGTTATTATTAATGTTAATACTTTATATTTTAAATAGGATCGCAAAAGAAAAAACCAGAATTTTTTATCAAGTAAAAATTCTAGTTTTTTCTTTTGTGATATATATATATATATTTAATATATAATAGATGCCAAAAGCACATAATATGAGTAAGTTATGTGCTGATATAACTTATCAGCATCGTCGTGAACTGGATGATCTCCTTTCTACTTTTTAAATGCAACTTCAACACATGATAATACTACTTCAGCTCAAACAATGCATGCTAATACTCAAACAACACATAGCAGTTCTATTTCAACTCAAATGAATAATAATTCTACCTAAACTCAAACGACACATAGTAATAATATTGATTCATCTGATAAAATCCAAAATGTAGATTTAGATGAAGATAATAAAGATGAGGATAATGAAGAGTGTGATTTGCCTTATATTTCTGAAGCAAAATTTGGTGAGTATCTTCAAGAGTGAGTAGAAATATTAGATGAAGAAAAGGAGGTGGACATAATTAAAGATCAATATGATTCTGTAGACTTAGATGATGTTATTCACCTGACTATAGATGAAAATACGAAATAGAAATTATCTAGTCTATTTTGTTTGTTGGAACTTCCATTTCATTAATTTTTTTTTATTTTTTTTGAATTAAGTATACCAGTATATATTAAATTCAAGGTGGTAATTATTATTTATGAAAAAAAAATAAGACAAAAATTTATTGGGACAAATGATATTTCAAGTTGGTTATAGTTATCAAAATGAAATTAGAATAGTGGGATATAAATATTAAGATAATTAATAGTAAAAGTAAATAAGCTATTCGATTATTTTTTTTATTATAAATTATGCATGCTTTGGACATCTTTTAATTTATGCTTTTAAGTTTTTCATTTGTAAGGCCCAGTATTCGAATAGTTTGTCAGTAGCTAATACTTTTCAAGAAGTACGTTTAGTATATATCAATCGTTAACTCTAATAGAGTATACTATACAATAGGCGAATTATAATAAATAATTTCATTTGAATCATATAAATATATTTAAAATTCAATTGTAAAGTTATCAATCAATATTTAAAATATAATAAGTTTTTTTTCTTATTGGTTCTAATGGAGAAGCTAGTGAAGCAAGCAAAAGAGGTGATTGAGGTAGTTTTTGAACAAGCATATTAGATAGTCGATTAGTAGTAGAAGTGTTAACTATTAGCAGAACGTACACTTGTTAAGATAAAGTGACTAATCTCTAACAAAATAGCAGATACCTAATTAATAAATAAGTGAAAAGTTAATTAATTAGCAATTGAATAAACGAAGCAAGCTATACTTTTAACAAAAAAAATTTTGATTTCAGAATTAATACTCATGTTTAATACCTTTAGTAACTAAATACCTTAATTAATTGTAATCGTTCAATAATTAAGCAATATCTTAAACACTAGTAGATCATATTGAAGTCGTTTGATGTACTTTTTGAATGATTTAAAACTTTAAATAAATCAGATTTCAAAAACGAACTGACTAATAAATCAGTTAACTATATGTAAGCTACTAAAAAAATTAAAGTTGGTGAGTTTGAAAAATACATCTTGACCTATTTTAATCTATTTTCACTTAATACTTATTGTTAAATAGCGGACGAATTGGTTTGGGGTAGCATAAGATATTTTGGTTAATTTCAATATATCTATGTACAGGTCTATTTTAAAAACTAAATATATATAAAACTAAAACAAGTGTATATATTAAGATCCCTGGTTTTTGTTGCTAGGTTGCTTGATGGTAATTTAATTTTATGCATATTGAATAAATTTTATTGGCTGGTAATCACGTGTTGATCAACATAAATGTCTGGGACAAAAAAATTTTCCCAAATATGTCCGCGAACATCCCGTTCTAGATAGTTCACTGTCTATATCCCATGACAACACTGATTGGACCTATTAATTGGACCAATTGGACATAGTCTAATTGGTCGATTGATAGGTCCAATTGCCAACACTTCTAACAACTAACTTTTAGAGTTTGAGGCCACATCTTCGATATAATTAAGAATTATGCTAAAGAGAGAAATAACGCAGAAAGCCATACAATATGAACTAGATAATATTTTGACTATGAGATTCTTAAATGGCTAGAGAAATTCAGCAATTTTTTCTAAGTTGGTCTATTGATTACGCAAAATAGCATAGTTATTAAGATCATTATAATTGCTTGTAAGAGTATTTAATACCTACAAATGTTATTTTGAATTTTTACTGTAAATAAAAAATGTATTGTATAATAGTATAAATAATTAATTAAATAAAATATGACATATATAAAATAATAACTACAATAAAAAAATATATATTATAATAAATTAAATTTAAAAAATAATAATAAATAAAAGAATTTACTTATTTACCTCCAACTTCTAATTGGCTGTACTAATTATTCACTTAGCGAAATATTTATATTATTAATCAAATTTTTGTACTCTGATAGTGAAGTTGAGAGCATCCATAAATCAAAAAGTAATAATTAAATGTTAATAATTTAAATAGTAATAAATTGAATAGTAATAAATTAAATAGTAATCATAGATCCCAATTTCTAAAAATAAACAAAAGTCAAAAATACAGTAGCATCATAGCTTTGTCAAAAACTAGTATTTTAATAGTATAATAAGCAATAATACTAAAGCTAAAGTATCTTCTCATACTCTTCCAAAAGAAGTTTCAAGGAAAACAAACAAAAACTACTAAAGTTCTTAATGAAATTTCACTAGAAAAATTTTCAAATTACAAAAAGTGAGAATTTGTTGATACCTGGTGCTGCAGATCCTTTAGATTATACAAGATACCACGTAAATCTAGAAGTAAACAAACACGTGTTTAATAAACATAAAGCATATATATCTACTCAAAACTGGACAACTTCTGAGGGCTCAGATTTATTTAAGAAATTTACTATAATAAATCAGAAAAAATATAGACTACAAAAATCCAAAGTATAGTATATATAATTTTTCTCATGTGACCTAAACTGAACTACGATAGAAAATTTAGAAAGATGAAAGGTTATACATTAAATCTTGAGAATAGCCAAGTAAGAATTAAAGCTGGCATTCAAAAAAGAAAGGATAGAATCAAGTCTCTCCTCAAAGAAGAATTTTCACAAAAACTTATTGAAAAAATCGATAGAATAGGATGGAGTTAAGAAAAAATAGATAGTTATATTTCAAGAATTACAGGGATCAAAATAAAAACTATCTCAACAGCTAGAGCTTAGCAAAAGATTCTAAAAGAGATAATAATTGAAGAAAGAAAAGCAATACTTGATATCACTCTTGAGGAACTAGAACAAGAGCTCCAAGCATTAACAGAGAATACAAAAAAAAGATGTAAAATTGGAAAAAAAGAAGATTTAGAAAGAGCAAAGATCCTAAAGATTGAATACATAGAGAGCTAAGAAGAATCTTATATTTTAGAAAAAATGAGAATTTTCGAGAATGAAAGAGGAACTGAATCCATTATTACAAAAGAAGTCAAAGAACTCAAAGTGAAGTTGATAAATGAGAAAAAAACAGCAGTTAAAATTCTTCTTGATGAAAAAAGTTATACGCCTCAACAAAGTATACAAGAAAATGGGGTAAACAAAGAGTCAAACAAAATAAACCCTCTACAACCTCTACATAAACAAGAAATGAGTACAGAGTTATTTCCAACAATTTCAGTAGAAATACCTAAAGATGAAATCCTAGCAGAATGTGAAGAGATTCTTTTAGGAACATTGCAACTAGAAATTAATTGTCCAAAAGAATACTAGAAAAACCAAATTGAAAATGCAGTCTTAATATATAAAGAAGAAAGGAGTAACTCTATAGAAGATAGTGAATAGGCCCCAAATGAAAATACATATGATGGATAAGGAGAATTTAAAGCAAAAATAGTAGCTTTCTCCCTTCCTAGAAACTCAAAAGAGGATAGAATTAAATTTGTAAAGGGTACAATCTACAAAAGTTGCAATATAAGCAAAATGAAGGAATGCTTCATAAAAGGCAACTCCTAAATTGTAATCACCTTTGACTGTATGAAAGATAAACAATTAATAGAGGAAAGATTAAAAAAGAAAAAAATAGAGTAGTATAAAGTAATTTTCAAAGAAACAAACACAAATATAACGATAACAAAAAGCACAGGACTCAAGGACAAAGAAAAGTCAGAATCCAAAGGCAAAAACAAAGATTTTACTTGGATCACTCTATGGGATCTCCCTTTAGACTACAGTAAACAAGAAGTTGCTAGGCTTGTTAAACACTTTGGTTATGCAGAAGAAATAATTTTAAAGAAACTAAGATTCTATCAGTCTGCAGAAATTAAAGTCTATACATGAGAGGTAGAACAAGCTAGAAAACTCAAAGCCAACTAGGTAATAGGACTAGAAAATGGAAAGTTAGCACATATAACTTTAGGAGAAGCTAACTCCAAGTCTCTAAGAGAAAGAGAAGGGTATAGAACAATTCTAACAAATATTCTAAACATAGCACAGGAAACCTTACTCTTGCGCTCTCTATAATAAATAGGAGCCAAAGCAGTCTTTATACCATACAACTCAAATAGAAACCCAAGTCATATTGCGAAAGTTTTCTTTGAATCTCAAGAAGAAATAGATTACATAATAAAAAGAAATATCTATTACTATAATACAAAGCTCTTCTGGAAAAAAGATGAAAATACTAATATGAACTAACAAGAAGAGAGTTCATCTTCAAAAAAAATAACTGAAATAGAGAGCAGAGTAATAGATTCAAAAGATACAACTAAAGAAAAAACAACAATTAACAAGAAAGAAAAATACCAGAAGAAAGAACAGAAGTCCTATTCTGAAAATACCTTAGAAGCTAATTTCTCACTCATTCAAGAAGAGATTCTAAAATTAGAGGCACAAATACAAAGAATAAGACAAGAAAAAGAGATCAGGAATAGAGCATTCAAAGATAAAAATATTCCAAATAGATCCTAAGAGTACCTTATTCGATATACAAGAATTAGCTACTAGTTAGAGTAGCAAAATAGTAAACATGGATATGGATAAACAAAATCTGATCTCTTCAAAATCAATTAATAACATTTCAGATACACTCTTCCCGACGATCACCTGTACCATTTTTTTCGCAAAAACTGAACTGTAAATTTATAGTTAATATAGCAAAAGTAATTACAAAACTTCTCTATAGCGATTAAGAATAAGAGTTTCAATCTGGGTCCAACTGAAAGAGAGATGAAATAG